TCTGGTTTTCTCTGCATATCAAATATATCATTTCTGGAGAGGATATCGTATTTATAGTAAATGAAAAGCATCACATATGAAAAAGGACCAGTTTGTGGACTTCATCTCTTTATAACTTCTATTCAATATTTGACAACAACAAAACTTCATTTCACATTTGTTATTTATAACAAGGTATTTGAGTGTTTGTGGAATTACAATTTTACTTTTAAAATGTTTATATTCATCGGTTTCTATTGCCAATTTTTTCACATCAATTTGTGACAAATCCAAATCAATTTCTGACATCTTGTATATTGTGATCTCTTCAAAGCCTTTACATGCATCAAGTGAGTATTTTAAATAAAATGGAAGTTCATTTTCATTGATATTTATTTTGGTTTTGATATTAAAAAAAGAAATAGGCAGTTCCCACGCACTAAATTTGTCATAATTTTTGACATTCATAAACATTACTTTAAAATAGATTTTTATTTTTTCAAACACTTTACTGTCTTCTTCGGTCATTTCTTCGTTCATTAAATATAAAACTTTATTGAAAACAAGTCCTCCTTTAGTCTGAATAAGCGGTAGAATGTGTTGTAACTGCCCTTTGCCACTTGAAATAATTCTGAGCATTTTCATGTTATGTAGTTCTAAAAATAGATTTAAATTGTTTTTGATTGTTTGAAGTAATTTTATTGATATGTTTTCTACTGTTTCTTCGTTGCCAGTTTCTTCGACGACTTCTGGAACGACAATTGTGAGGTCTTCCAAATTTTTCATGTTTTCGATGTTCTTAACTAAATAATCGAGTGTCTCTATTGAGTAAATTACATAACTTTGAAATTTTGTCACATTCATTTGATGAATTGTAGCGAACGGAAACGCAGTTGAAACAATTGGAAATTTGGAATAATCATTGAGTCTCGTGTCATCTTCAATTTCGTATTCCCTGTCATTCATATTCACAACTTTAATAAACTCGATATGTCCAAAAACACTTTCAGGAACTTCAATTCTATAGGAGGGAAGATACAACGTTTTTATATTTGGAAAAAGTTTTAACATATCTTTGGCATAGTGATGTGATAAATACACATCGTAATGATTGTGATATACTTCTCGAGTTTTTTCAACAACAAGAGGATTAATTTGAAGCCGCTCCATCGCACGTTTGCATTTTTTGTTGATAGTAGAAAAAGTCAGAAGTGAATTAAAAGTGTCAATATATAGTACAACATTCATTAAAAAGAATTCCTCTAAATTTCCAACCATTTGATTTGTTTATTTAATTTAGTTCGTTTTTGTATTTATTTTTTGTTTCTGTGTCAAGACTCAAATCGTAAAAATTGAATAACATTCGTACGATAAGATTAATAAAGTAAAAATTACATTACTTCTGTTTTATAATTTATTTATTTAGTAAAATGTTCATTATTATTATTATTATTGTTAAATAATTAATTTTTTTTATATTTATAATAGTAAATAATAAAAACATTTTCAATTCTTTTTTTTAGTCGAATTTTGTAATGTTTTTAAAACAGCTAGTTATTAAATCATGTTTTAACACATACAAAAAGATAATGACGTCCACTCGAATTAATTTTCGTCTTAAAATGTAACACTCTAAATAAGTTTCAAAAAATTAAATTCATGTTTTACAAAATGTTAATTATTTAATTATTTGTGAATCAATAGAAGTTGTTTCTAATTTAAAGTGTTAAATAAATTTTATATTAGAAATGATGATTAACCAAACTATAAAAATGCATTAATATCTTAAAAATCAAACAAATTTATACAAAACCAAATTATGTTATTTGTTGGCATTTTGTTTTTTTATAATAACAATTTTTTATTTTTTACAACACATTTTTTACATTTATTTTGTTGTTTCATTCTTTACTTGTGTAGCATGAAAGCACCACAACAATGTTTCAATTCAACACAATAATTATCACTTTAAATTTTCAAAACAAGATTCTCACGCCGATACTATTCCACTTTCTTGGTTTTGACCTTTTGTTTTTTAACAATAAGTCAAAACTGCTATTACTCATGTTCAACTCGTCTGAACACACATAACAAAGTTGAGAATTCATATATAACTGTATATTGATCAACTTTTATTTAATAACATATGTTATTAAATACAATGGGAGAATAGTTCAATAAATATAATCAAACATAAATTGTTGATTATTATGTAAATATTTAATAACATAGAATTTTAAAATATTTTTATGATTTAAAAATTATAAGGGTTATTTAAAAAGATAATTTATAATAAAATAAAGTATTTACGTGATTCCAATGACTAAATATTTGCTAAACTCAATTTAAGAGATAATTTAAATCTTACTAACTTTCATATTAAAATTAAAAATGATTATTAATAACCAATACATTTCTAATTTTTAAGTTTCTTGCACGCATTCTATTTTGTATCTATATATACATGTACCTGTAATACAAAAAATAAAAATCTATATACCAAAAGTTTATTTATTAAAAAAATATCAACAAAAATTAAATATAATTGCAATTTAATTTTTACAATTATTTTTAAACCAAAACACACTTTTTGTGCTTATTGGTACCATATAGTTTTTGATTGGACTTAGTCTTGATAATATTTCTCACCACCTCTTGAAAAACTTCGTCTATATTTATTCTACTTTTTGCAGATGTTTCGAAAAAGGAAACTTTCCATTCTTCAGCAATTTTTTCGCCATCTTCAATGGGAACAATTCTTGCACTCTCCAAATCACTTTTATTACCACACAATACAATTGGCACGTGTTCTTTGTGCGTTTTGTTAAGTATTGTGTAAATGGTATTTCTGTAATGATCAATTTCATCAAAAGAATTTCTGTCTGTAATTGAGTATACTATTAAAAATCCATCTGCGGTACTAATTTGGATATCTCTAATTGTATTGTATATATCTAAGTCGACAGTGTCTAGTATTTCCAATTTATAAGAATAACCATCAACTTCTATTTTAGCATAAAAAGTGTGTTGAAAAGTTGGGTTGTAGGGTTGTACAAATCTACCTAATTCCAATTGAGCGGCAATAGTCGTTTTCCCAACGGTAAGAGATCCAAAAATAATGATTTTGGTGTTGTTTGTCGTCATTTAAAGAATAATATTTATTAAATAGATACTCATATAGTTTGGTTAGTTATAAATGGTTTAAGCATATAGTTTTAAAATTATTAATAATGGTA